TCCTGGAGAGCATGGCTGCCATCTATGATCTCTATGTATTCAGCTGCTCTTCATAGTCCTATTGTAGTGGCATTGTCTACAATATAAAGTTGAGGCTATCCTCGGGACGAATTCTAAGATAATGTTGCCGGGACGATTGCAGGTCTTATACGGATCCAAGCATCGATAGGGTCATGTCTCTGAAAGACATTTGTTCCGTGATAATGGTTGACAGGGATTGCAAGTGAACGGTGTGGCTTGATGATGATGAGTATTACTGGCTGGTCCAGCCAAACAATGGCTTTGTGGTTCCTCAGTACGATGGGGAGGACGAGGAGGATCGAGTGCTGGAAGGGTTTGTGCCGCTTCTCACCGCTCTGGCCAAACTGGATGACTTCGCTCTGGCGATTGAGGGGCTGGCGAGTGTAAGCTGGTTGACGAGGAGCTCAAATTTGGAGAGATTGATGGGGAAATTGTTTCGGAAGGGTTATTGTGTGATTATTATTCTGACTTTGGTATACGCACAGGTGAGGGAATGGTTCATGAACGCCATGCTCATGTGGAGGGATTATTATAAATATAATCCACTGTGGATAGAATTCATGTGTATTGATAGAAAGCTGTTGGAAGACCCTGAATTTAAGAAGCAAGTGCAGCTACATTGAAAGTTCTAAGAATTCTTGCTCATGTCCCAAGTTCTTCCGGCACAGATTGCTCCTCTTGGTGGCCTTTCCAAGCAAAGGAGGTATGCATTCTTCCAAAACAAAGTAAAATCTTCAGGCTACATACCATTGCTGTTGCTACTGCTAACAATGTTTTGTTGTTACTTGCGCTGTTAAGTATTTTAACAGTTATTAGTTAGCTAAAAAATCTTAACTAAAAGCATTTTAGGTAACTTTTAAGTTTTACACGTGGCACTTTTTGTGGCGCGTCAAATGGCTATGGATGACGATGAGTGTATGAATCAATGGCTGCCAGTGTGGCGGGACTCGCTTCCGGCCGCCAGGAACTCGCATTTGGCGTCACTCTCGTCCACAGGAGCAGCGCCAGCCGCCTGGTGAGCTTCAAACCGGCGCGTTTGATCACAGCTTGCGCGGATGATCCCTCCAATTCTTCCACAGGTTCGCCCAAGCGGCAGCCGGAGCAGCCGCCACTGTCGCTCAGCCTGGAGAATGTGAACCCGGTGGATCTGGGTCGAAAGTCGAGGAAGGCTTTCGACGATGTGTGGCAGCGGATCAAGGATCTGGGTCAGTTCACGGGCTCGTCCAGGCCCCGGGATGGGGATGACAATGTGCTCGTTGGCGGCCCAATGTGCGAATTCACCATCCCAAACGCCGAGTTTACGACGCTGCTGGTCGTGGGAGCTACCAGTCGCGTTGGCCGGGTTCTCATCCGGAAGCTCCAGCTGCGAGGATACAAAGTTAAGGTAGAGTCTCTTCTTCTCTTGGCATTTGCCTCTAATGGGCAAATGTTTGAGGCATTTTGGTTTCTCTAAAATTCATTCTTTTGTGAAGGCTTTGGTACGAAATGCCGATCCCGAGACTTTGGAGATGCTGCCTCGCTCGGTGCAAATCGTTGTGGGCGATTTGGGAGAGCCGGAGACGCTGAAAGCAGCGGTCGAAGGTTGCAACAAGATCATCTGCTGTGCCGCTGCGCGATCATATATTACTGCTGATCTCTACAGAGTTGACAACAAGGGGGTCCAAAATCTATCAACAGCATTCCAGGTTTGCGTAAGCTTGCTTTGCCAGAAGTTCTCATGTGTTTTTGTTTGTGTGCGTAGGATTACAATCACAGGTTAGCACAAACTCGTGCTGGGCGGAGTAGCAAGAGCAAACTTGTTGTGGCGAAATTCAGCAAGGCAAAGGAGGTGGATTCCTGGGAGATGAGGAGAGGTGAAGCTTTTGGTGGCTACGATCCCTCCTCAAAGTATCAGGTGAATTTTGGTGGAACTTTGGACGTGGATGAAAACAACAATGCCGACTTCTCAGGTACGTGTTTTGTTACCAGGGAGTAGCAAAGAGTTATAGTTTCTCGTTGTCTCAGGGTTTGTACCCAGCAGAGGTGGCTACGTAGAAATGGTGAAAAGCTTATCGTTTCCTTCGGGTTTTACTCTTGACAGGTGGGAAAGTTTTGCGAAGTTCTCTCTTTTCTCATCTTCATTGTGTGGCTGGTTCCATTTCGTGCTTACAGATACGAAGGTCTAGTTTTATGTGTTTGTGGCGACGGTAAGATTTACAGCCTCATTCTCGAGACCAGTGGTGGAGAATACGACGCTCCTAGAAGACGTTACTATGCAAGATTCTTGACACGGCTTGGCTATAGTAGGGTATGGGTCATGGTTTACTTTCTCACTCATTAACTCTCGTTTTTGCAGATTAGAATACCCTTCACAAAGTTCAGGCCTATGAACGAAGAAGATCCACCACTTGATTTGTTCTTGGTGGATAAGCTGGCCATAAGATTTGAGCCGAGAAAACAAGTAAGCTCTAGAATGGTACATTAGTCGCTATAAAAGGAGTTTCTTTACTTTGTTAGAGATCTTCGTTTTTAGCAACAGGAGAAACTAGCAGTTTTAAGCTGCTAGTGGACTACATCAAAGCTCTCCCTGTAAGTGCACTTTGCATTCTATCTTTCGGTCCTTTTGATTCACACTGGTTCTTGTATTTCAGACGGGAGAAGAGACTGATTTCATTCTAGTCTCTTGCTCTGCAGCTGGGGTTGAGGGTGAAAGCAGAGAGAAACTTCTTAGAGCGAAACAGGTATTGCATGCTTCACAGTGCCTTTAACTTTCGGTTTTCTTCTTTCCAAAATAGGCTGGAGAAGCAGCACTGAGAAACTCTGGACTTGGATACACAATTATACGTCCTGGTCCACTCATGGTATTGGTACCATTTGTCTTGCAAACCTTTTTTACTAGATCATGTTTCAGGAGGAACCTGGGGGACAACGAGCACTAGTGTTTGATCAAGGGAATCGAATTACACAGGTAGGCTCTTCGTTCTTCTGTCTCTGTTTTCCAGGCAAAGCATCTCAAACTTTGCAAACGCAGGGAATTAGCTGCGCAGACGTTGCAGATGTTTGTGTCAAAGCTTTGCACGATCCAACAGCCAGGAACAAGAGCTTTGACGTGAGCTTCGATTTTAATGATCTTCTTTCCAGAGCTCTAAGAATTTCTTTTTACAAGCAGGTCTGTTACGAGTACACTCCTGAGGCTGGACAAGGCTTGTATGAACTGGTAAAAAAGAAATTTTTACATTTGGCGAGTCCTTGTTCCTTTTGCCGATTTAACTTGGAGATTCATTCCAGGTTGCTCATGTTCCTGACAAATCAAACAACTATTTGACGCCAGCACTATCTGTTTTGGAGAAGAACACTTGAAAGATTTATGTAATAAATTGTTGAAAAATAAAAAGAAAAAGAAAAAAAACCATGTTTGTATACACATTTGTGTTTTGGTTGACTTCCCTTGTGTTTTGGGCGAGAACTCTCATCCAAGGTTCCAAGATGTTCCAGCGATTTCTTGGCCAGGTATCACTAGCAAATCCACACACTGCATGGATCTTTGCGGTGACACTCTATATTTTCATGGTCTTCGTCTTGCTGGCTTTTGGGATTCACCACTTGAAGAAGAACTTCTCTCTCGTGGCTGGACTTATTCTCACTGTTGTTAGCTTGGTTATGCTGGAACTCAACTCCCCTCCTTCCTGATTTCATGATCTTGATCTTAAATTCTCCCCAAAATCAATCAAACAATCCAGTTTTTCTTGCTTCAATGTCAAAGGTATTGTTCGTACTCCTGGCACTTCGTGATTTTAAATATTTATTTATTTTTATAAAGATTTTTGGTATGTACAGCGACGGTGCCACTGAGATATTGTTTGAAAATATCAAATCAGCTTCGTGACTTGTATAGTACCTTGGCAAGGAATTTCAAAAAAAGAATAAATTCTAAAGCTTTTGAGCAAAGATTAAAAGTCTTGATCTTGCCTCCTGGCAGCATTGATATTATTTCTTTCCTTTTCATTTCTTTCTTGCTGTGTCGATGTTCATCTCATTTTTTCTCGCTGATAGATATCCAACCCATCTCCCATTCGCCACAGTGCTAGTTTTGTCCATGTTTGTTAAGATTGCTCTCCAGGATGTCAGCAGATCCACTGTAGATCGCTCGAGTTGTTTTTGGAGTGGAGGAATATAGGATTTGCGTGATTGGAACTTTGGAGCTTGGCCATGGGTTCCTGTAGAATCTGAGCTTTTGGGTCTTTTGGCTTCACAAGAATCCATATCACCATATCATTTGAAATCTTTGCAGTTCTCTCTTGATTTTTTTTCTTTATTTATTTTTGTTTGCTTGCTTGCTTGCTTCCTTTGGAATCTCGAGAATGGGAAGAACGAAGCCCAGGTCCAAGAAATCCATTGAGGACGATGCCACCAACAATTTGGGGATTGATAACAGGGCAGCAGAAGCTCCAAGGAAGAGGGGCAGGCCAAAGAAAGTGATTCAACACGAAAGCGAAGAAGATCAACAAGAGAAAGAAGAGAAGCATCAAGAACAGGAGGGAGTTCTAGATGATCACTTTGATCCAAAGCCATTCTTTGAAGACAGTGGCAGCAGCAAAGATGTGGTTAATGCCCACAAGCAAGAACAAAACGAAGAAGCTCCAGCTCGCTTTCTTCCAAGAAAAAGGGGGAGGCCTCCCAAAGCCAAAGCAATAGCAGTAGCTCCAGAGCAGCAAGCCAAGAAGAAAGGATACAGTCGACGCAAGAGTGAGCCACACAGAGCCGCTGGCTTCGCAGCCAAATGAATCGACGATCGATCGATGCGATCGACAAATCAATGGAAAAATCCCGTTTTTTGGATCCAAAATCCCAAAATCTTGCTTATTGTTTCAAACATACTTGTCGTATCGTGAGCTGCTTCCAATCCATCCAACCGAAAGTTTTCGATCAATCACTGTTACCTTTCGTTCAAACTAAGAAGCAAACAAAATAATTTTGATAAAAAAAAATTCGTGGCCGATTCCTCCATTTTAAAGCCGTGCAAGAAAAGGACTTCCTTTCGCAGTTAAAATATTGGTCTTGTCTTGACTTCCAGACGATGCCAATGATAAATGAGCTCTTCGCCATTCCAATCTCCAAAGCTTTCGATCACCAGCGATGCCGATCTCCACAGTGCCCTCGATCAGCTCCGACTCTCGAGCGACTGCTGCAACCTCTACGAGGGGATCGTCAAGTACTGCGGCAAAAGCAAGAATCTCTCGGCTGGAAGACGCGCGCACTCTCTTCTCCAACAAAGCTCGCTTCGATCGGACAGATACCTCGCTAATCTCCTCGTGGAAATGTATGGGAAGTGTGGGAAGCTGGACGAGGCTCGGCGGGTTTTTGACACCATCGCGGTGCCGAATGTTTTCTCATGGACTCTCCTGCTCGTTGTATATGCCCATAACGGGCATTTGCGTAAATCTCGACAGATTTTTGAAGCGATGCCGGAAAAGGATGTTGCTGCCTGGAACGCGATGATGAACCTCTATGTTGAGAACCAGGACTTTGATTCTGCTAAAGAAATCTTTGATCGAATGAAAGCCAGAGATGTGTTCTCGTGGACTGCAATGATCACTGCATACTCGCACAGTGGGGATTTGGAGAGCGCAAAAGCTTGTTTCGATCGAATGAAGCGTCGTAACTCCGTTACATGGAATGCTATGTTAGCTGCGTACATACGAAATGGCCATACGGTAGAAGCCGAGTCTTTCTTCCGAAAGATTCCGCGTCCTGATGCTGTTTCGTGGAACTCAATCATATCCGCAGTTGCCAAATGCGGGGATTTGCGGCGAGCAAGACAACTTTTCGATCAGTCACCGGAGAAAAACGTCGTAACTTACAACACTATGATCACCAGCTTTGTTCAGACCAATCGTGTCGATCTTGCAAAGAATTTCTTCGATCGGATGGAAGAGAAAGACTCGGTTTCGTGGAACGCGATGATAACCGGGTATGCCCAAAGCGGCCATCTCGACAAAGCCCGAGAGATGTTTGATCGAATGCCCGATAGAGATAGAGATCCGGCGTCCTGGAACTCGATGATAAGCGGATACGCTCTTGAAGGACGCCTCGAGGATGCGAAGTTCCTGTTTGATTCCATGGACGGGAAGAGAAACTTGGTGTCCTGGAACGCTCTCATCGCTGGCTACGGGCAGAATGGCTATGGAAAAGAAGCCATCAATCTCTTCAAGAAAATGGTGGTGGAGTTTCGATCGGAGCTTCCAAACAAGGTGACTTGCATCAGTGTTTTGGATGCCTGCGCGAGCAGCCTCTCGCTGAGCGATGGCCGAGCTATGCACGCCAGGATCTTCCTTTACGGCGTCCAGTCCGAGACAGTGGTGGGAAACTCGCTCATCAACATGTATGGGAAGTGTGGCTTGCTGGATCAAGCCGCGAGAATTCTCATCACGATGCCTCACGCCAATTCAATCTCCTGGAACACCTTGATCGGATCGTATGCTCAGCTCGGCCGCGCGGCGATCGCAATCCAGCTCCTCCCGCTCATGATCTGCGATGGATTCCAGCCCTGCCAGGTGACTTTCTCGGGAGTTCTCTCGGCTTGCGGCCATGGAGGGCTGTGGAGCAGAGCGCGCGAGTTCTTCGTGTCGATGGTGGGCGATTTTGGGGTAGAACCCATCGCCGGGCACTACGCGTGTGTGATCGATCTTCTGGGCCGCTCCGGGCTGCTGATCGAGGCTCAGGATTTGCTCCAATCCACGCCGCAGGACGAGATCTCGTGCATGTCGATCGTGGGCGCGTCGAGGCTGCACGGCAATTGCGGGATTGGATCGCAAGCGGCGCTGCGCGCGTCGCAAATCGATCCACAGAGTTCCGCGCCCTACGTGTTCTTAAGCTCTTTTTAAACTGGGTGGAATATGCTCCATCAACGGTGGATGTCGCGAGGGCGCCATGTTAGGGCACGCCCGTTCGCGAGCAAGAACTCGAGCGATCGGAGCTGCTGATGGGCGATCGCAATTCTAGCTGGGATTAGCTCGCCGTGACGATCGATCGGTAGAACACACTCAGAAAATTGGATTTGGCGCAATGGGGCGCCGGAAATCAAATGTGATCCTGCGAGCTCTGTCGTGCTTGAAGCACCAGGCTGGGAGCAGCGTTCGCTCGCTATCCAAATTGCTAGGATGCCGGGCGCCGCGGGGCAGCATCAAGAAGCTCGCCAGGAAGAAGAGGATTTCTAGGGGCAATTCGGTGGGATTCAAGCTCGCATCCAGATCGATAAGCAGTAGCAAGCACTTGGAATCGAAGAGGAAGAAGAAGAAGAAGAAGAACGATCACCACCGCAGAAGAAAGCGATCGAGGAAGAGCGAGCAGCATGATCACAAGCTCAAGCGGCGAAGGAGGCGACGACGAAGAAGACGAAGAAAACAAAAGGGAAGAGGCTCGCGCGGGAAATGGGGATTGCTGTGACATAGATTTTCCCTTCTATAAGTTCTCTCCTTTTGTCCCCTTTGGTGCCCAGCTATGGCGGCCATTTTGACCAAACAATGGCGTTTATTTAGGGCTTATTGCGTCATCGCGTGGAGGAGAGAAGACGCGTTCCCGCCGCGCTGCCATGATGCTCGTTCCAGAGTGATGCGATCGCGGCAATCTCCAAGAGGCCGGCGCCATGAATCGAGGCGCGATTGGCAGCGTCGTCCTCGCCATCGCCTTGCTCGCCCTCGTCGCGAATGTATCGCACGCCGTGGAGGAGGATCGGTCGTCGGTGAGTGTCAGGGCTAGGGTAGCGCCGGGTGAGAAGGATCAGGGATGGAGCGGCTCGAGAACAGCGGCATCGAGGGTTTCTGTGGCGACTGTGGCGATTCTCACGCTTGGAATGGCTGCCGCTACTGGTCTCGGTGCCGTGCCGTTCTTCTTCGTGGAGTTGCAAGCAAAATGGGCCGGACTGTGCAACGGGATCGCGTCTGGAGTGATGCTTGCCGCGAGCTTCGATTTAATCCAGGAAGGCCAGAGGTTTGGAGGAGGAAATTGGGTGGTGGCGGGCATTCTTTCGGGTGGACTCTTCATTCTCTACAGCCAAAAGGTTCGTTCTCCTCTAGAACACTGGATTTATTTTTCTAGAACACTGTCATCCTATTCTTTGCTTTTTTTCTTGCAGGTTTTGGAGAGGTTTGGGGACGTGAAGCTCATGGATGTCAAGGGTGCTGATGCAAGGAAAATGCTCCTTGTGATTGGTATCATGACGCTTCACTCGTTTGGAGAAGGATCTGGAGTGGGAGTTTCCTTTGCCGGACCCAAGGGACTCTCGCAAGGACTCACTGTGACGCTGGCGATTGCTGTGCACAACATTCCCGAGGGATTGGCAGTGAGTATGGTCCTTGCGTCGCGAGGGGTCTCGGCTCGCAATGCGATGCTTTGGAGTACCTTTACTTCTTTGCCACAGGTAACGCTTGATCTTTTGTTTGGTTTGCCAAACCTTTGACACGTTATCTTCTCTCTGGATACAGCCATTGGTAGCAGTACCAGCTTTTATCTGTGCGGAGGCGTTCCAAAAATTTCTACCTCTCTGCATGGGCTTCGCTGCGGGATGCATGATCTGGATGGTCCTGGCCGAAGTTCTTCCCGACAGTTTTAAGGTGATAGAGCAAACTCTAGAGACTCTTAGGCACGCCTAACGTTGGCTGCTATCCAGGATGCCGATGCTTCCGAAGTTGCCTCCGCGGCAACCGTCTCGATAGCTTTCATGGAGATTCTAAGCGCAGTCATGGAAAGCGGAGCCAGGTATAACTATATCGTTTTTCACCAAAACCAGGGCGGCTTGACAGCTCTAATGTTTCCAGATGGAACAACACTGGCTCTGCTCTTCTCTGGTCACTGCTCTTCGGACTGGGGCCTTTCATCGGCGGCCTCGCTCTAGTTTCGCTCGTCGGCTCGATCAGATTACCTTACTCATTCTTTGGCTCAGTGGGATCCGGGATAGCACTCGTCCTGGCTCTCTGGAGGCCGTCACAGCTCTGGCTCTCGGGAAAGATGGACAGACTAGTTCTCTCGGGGCTCTTCTTCCTGGGAACTTGTCTATGGAGGCTGGCTCACCTGTGGGAAAGCAGAAGACCCCGGAAGGCCGAAGTGGAAGTTTTCATCACCAAGCCAAAGCAAGCCAGCAGCCTGGCTTCCGGGGCGATTCTAGCAGCAGGGACAATGGGCTTCCACGCCTTTGCGGAAGGCTTAGCTCTGGGTGTGGCGGCCAGCAAAGCTTACGGACTTGGAACTCATATGCTCTTGCCGGTTTGTCTCCACGGACTCCCGCGAGGGGCCGCTGTAGCGAGCACCATCTATGGAGCTACTGGAAGCTGGCAGCAGGCATTGGTTCTAGCAACAGTGACGGGATTTGCGAGTCCGGTGGGTGCGATTGTGGCGATTCTGGGAGGACTGAGCTACAGCGGACTAGATTTTTGGATGGTGGTGGCGTGTGGAAGCTTGGTTCCAGCGTTTGGTCGCCAGATTTTGGTGAGAGCTGCTGGAAGGAGGGGCGCGAGCAGCGTGGTGATGGGACTGGTGACTGGCTTTGGGTTTGCGAGCGCGCTTCTTACCAGCACTCGAATGGTTTGTTTGTATACGCCTTACTGTAGCTCGGCTCCAGAAGCTGTGACTTAAGTTAAACAGCAATTTAAAGGAGCCTTTAAAGCTTACCTAGGGTTCTTGCGTTTTGGAAGAAGTGTGAGATGCCGCGAGAAATCTGCAAGAGCAAGACGCACTGAGCGGCATTCTCCAAGAAACAACGCACCGATCGCACCGATCGCTTACATTTTCCCCGAAAGGGAAGGAAATCTCTCGCAGAATCCAAGCACGTCCTCCAGCTCCTGCCGGATCGACTTGAGCTACATAATGGAATGCAAGACCTGGCAAGGACGAGCGCCTCCGATCGCCTCGCCCGAAATGGCGAGGATTTCGGCGTTTCTTAGGATCCAGCAGGAGGAAGAGGCGAAGATTGTGGCGATTCCCGTCCTTGTTGCGGCGTTGAAGGCGTGTGGCAGCTCCGGCGACGTGGATCTCGCGACGAAAATCCATGGCGATGCAGCGGAGAGCGGGCACGATTTCTACGTTGCAAACACGCTGGTGAGCTTGTATGGATAGTGTGTGGCAACTTGGTGGAAGCTGAGAGAGTTTTTGTATCAGAGTGTGGTCTCTTGGGCGGCACTGATGCTGGAAAAGGGGGAAGAGGCACTGGCTTTACAGGCACCACTGTCATGGATGACAAATGACAGGACCTTTGTTGCTGCTCTTAAGGCATAGCAGGCAAGGAAGAAGGCAGCAAAGAGTTGGAAGATGGTTCGTGAAAACAGGGACGCTGGAGAAAGGCATGGATCTCCATTCTCGAGCTTCAGACAAGCATGAGCTAGATATATTCGTGGCCAGCTCGCTGATCGACATGTACGCTATCGTTCGGTGTGGGTGCCCGGACAAGTTTTCGCAGCATGACCTGGTTTCGTTGGTGCTGGGGCACTTGGAAAACGGCCAGCCAGAGCTTGGTTACACAGATTGTGGAAGTTTATTGGACGCTCAGGGGCTCTTCCAGTCCATAATCTGGCACTCTGGAACACGCTGATACTCGGGTATACTGAGAACGTAGTGGACGAGAAGATCGCCTCGACCAGCTCAGCAGGGCTGCAAGCCGAGAGAGAACCGACGCGAAAGTGATCCCGTTCGGCTCTCATTTCTTCTCGTCACGCATTTGATCGAAGAGCTCCATCGCGAGCTTGTAGTTCCCCTGGCAGCTGTATCCCCCAATCAAAGCATTCGAGACTTCCACCCGGAGTCGAAAGCATGCCGAGCTTCCACCATGCCTCCACACTTCCCATACGTGTCCACCAGCGCGGTTCGTAAAACGCAACCGTGGATCCATCTCACGGCCTCCAAAGCCACCAGATTCCCACAAGCCTCGAGTGCGGCCTTGAAGCTCTAGGAATCCAGCGAGAGATCTTCTTCACGTTGTTGTATCCTCGAGAAGAGCTCCAAGGCCACAGATGGTTCCCACTTGTGCGTGAGTGATATGCTCGGCCGACTTTCTTGGAGTAGAGGTTCTTCACGTACTCTCCAAACACGCACGGGACCACGGGTTGTAGGCTGCCGGATGCTCCGGGTCTAAAAGTTTGGGAATCGGAGAAACTCTAACGTCGGAAGATGGATCATAGAAGAGCCCGACCGACGCCCGAGATTTACCCGCGTTCAAGATGGTCCTCTTCAGCTTTGCATTGCGGAGTCTCAAAACTGTTGTTAAACTTGCCTGAAGCTGGTCGATAACAAGAGCACCGGGAATCGACCCGTGTCTTGGAACTTAACTTGGAGCCCCACGACATCATTTTCCTGCAAGAGAATGGGGAGACCACCAACGTCGGAATGACTGCTCAGTCCGATTGCGAGCTCGGGGCTCGGGCAAGGAGGATAATAGTTGAGTTCCAGCGCTGCTTGGTGCTTACCAAATTCCCTCTCGAGATAGTCGGAGCCTAAGCCCAGACCCTCAGACAATGCTCGCAGGAGATGCCATGGCTTGATCCACAGCAACCAACCTCAATGATCCACAGAAAAAACTCTTTAGAGGAAGAAAATAATGCTGCCCTTCGCGAGGACAAGAGCTTTGCCAAGCGCTTGGAGGACAATGGAGGATAAAATAAAAGGCTGGGGAACTAACTGTCTAGTGTGACCCCAAAGCTGTGAATTACATTCATAACTGTTCCTGTTAATTCCTTGATACCGGTTTGGGGTAGGATGTGAGAACATCACAGTGACTTTAGTCCACATAGAACACCAACAAGCAAGATAGATTTTGATGCTTATCGAGCTCCTTTTGTTTAGCTTTACATGTAGTGGCAGCAATGACATATCAAATATCTTTCTCAGACACTTTCTAGCTGAGTATTTTAAATATTTTTATAAAGTATAGTTTAACTTCGAGATTCCATAAGATTAAACATCGAAATTCATATAAATAGGACGCTTTTGTATGATAGGACGCTTTTGTATGATAGACTTTGCTGACTGCAAATAGTCTTTGCTGTAAACTCCGGAATGCAAACACTCCTCAACGCCTATGAGTGCCTTCAGACTTTCCTCAGCCTTTGCCTCGAGCTAAAAAACAGCATATTACGAGCTTTGTAAAAAGTTAAAATTCTTACCACTTCCTTCTTGCCTTTGTTCTCCTTGTATTCCATTTCCAACCTGATCTGTTGACACTCTGCCTTTATCACCCCCTTGAGTGCCTCCCAACTTGCTTCGCTTATCACACATTTACCCTCGCTTTCTGACTCTAAACCACCATTGTGTTTCACTCCCATCACTTGCTTCTTAAATTCAGGGTCTTCCAATTTCTTTATGTTATATACCCTCTGCATGGGCATGGCGTTTATGAACCATTCCCTCACCTGTGCGTATACCAAAGTGAGAACAAAAACAAGACAATAATCACGCAATACACTTACGTAAAATCTACGCAGCCCTTCCAAAACAATCTCCCCATCAATCTCTCCAAACTTGAGCTCCCCGTCAACCAGCTTACACTCGCCAGTCCTGAGCCCCTCAATCGCCGGAGCGAAGTCATCCAGTTTGGCCAGAGCAGTGAGAAGCGGCACAAACCCTTCCAGCACTCGATCCTCCTCGTCCTCCCCATCGTACCGAGGAACCACAAAGCCATTGTTTGGCTGGAACAGCCAGTAATACTCATCATCATCAAGCCACACCGTTCGCTTGCAATCCCCGTCAACCATTGGCACGGAACGAATGTCTTTCACAGACACGACTCTATCGATGCTTGGATCCATATAAGACTTGCAATCGTCCCGGCAACAATATTCTAGAATCCGTCCCGAGGATAGCCTCTTATTTATATTGTCGACGATGTCACTACAATAGAACTCTGCAGAGCAGCTGAATACATAGAGATTATAGATGGCAGCCATGCTCTCCAGGAAAGGGATCAACCCAGGCCTCATGCCGATGTCATAGCCACCAGCCACGAAATCCGTGATTTTCGCGTTCTTGGAGATGAGGCAGTCGTCCAAGTCCAAAACCAGCGCTGGACGTGCCATTGAACTTTTCAGACCCTAAGGTTTGGCTACACTCTTTGCTATATATTTATGACTTTCTGCTGCCACGTGGCGTGCATCCAACGGCGGAGTAAGTCGGTATTGATATCCCATCCCTACCTAAAATAAAAAAGGGAAGGTTTCTCGCGGAAATTGTAGGCTATCGGTGAGAGTTCCACTCAGTGCGTCTGGTTCTTGTAGATTTCGACTTGTTTGGGATCTAAGGCCTGGCACAGGAGCAAGAGGCGAAGATTTTGGCGATGAAATGCCATGGCGATGCATCGGAGCGGGCATGACCACGATCTCTACGTTGTAAACGCATATGGAACTTTGGTGGAAGCTGAGAGAGTTTTTACAGGGATGGGGTATTGCAGTGTGGTCTCTTGGATGGCACTGATGCTGGGCTCGTGGGCTACGTGGAAAACGGGGAAGAGGCACTGGTTTTACAGGCACTGTCATGAATGAGAGCAGAGAAGTGTGGCTCCAAATGACAGGACCTTTGTTGCTGCTCTCAAGGGAGGTCTAGCGGCCAAAGAAGAAGGCAGCAAAGTTGGAAGGTGGTTCGTGAAAACAGGCGCTGGAGAAAGGCACGGATCTTCATTCTCAAGTTTCAGACGAGCTAGATATATTCGTGGCCAGCTCGCTGGGTGCCCGGACAAGTCTCGAGCGGTTTTCGAGAGAATGCCGCAGCATGACCTGGTTTCTGGGATACATGGAAAACGGCCAGCCAGAGATAGCTTTGGTGCTGTTTTTTTCTTCGAGCTGCGCTGAGAATGAGCCGTGCTACGTTGCTGCTCTCAAGGCTTGTAAGAGTTGGCATCGAAGGAGCAAGGGACGAAGCCTGTGGAAGTCCTGGAGATGGGGATGGAAATTTACTCCAGAGCTAGAAGCAGCGGTTTTGACTCCGTCGTGTCAGCAACACTCATCGGTTTATATGCTGCGTGTGAGACCATGATCGACGCTCGGAAGGTCTTTGACAGGATGGAGCAAGTCTCCTGGAATGCTCTAATACTTGGTCAGATGACCAAACTCTAGATCCTTGGAAGAGAACCTGTGGTCGGGGGTCTTGGCATAGAAATCGCTGTGCTTGTGCCATAAAATTAAAGAGAATCCATCAATATGCTTTTAGAATAAAGACGGCTTTAAAATCTATGTTCGCGCCCAAATGGCACGAATCACTGCTGGGCGGCATTTAGCTCCTCTTGATCTCGTCCGTGTTGGAGGGAACTGCATTTGTCTGGATTGATCGTCTCAAACTACAGGATGCTGTCGAACTTTACACCAGCAGACTTCCTTTCTGGATATGTGTGAGAACATCACAGTCCACATGGAACACCAACAAGAAAGTAAGCTTCTGCTTATCGCGCTCCTTTTGTTTAGCTTTAGCTTTACAGGTAGTGGCAGCAATGACGTATCAAATATCTTTCTCAGACACTTTCTAGCTGCAGTGGTTTTGGATAGGAGTATTTTAAGAATATTTGTGTAAAGTATTAACAGCTATGGGGCACGAAAACAAAGTTTAACTTCGAATTGTCGGGACATCATCAGGTTTGTCTCCATGGACTCCCGCGAGGGGCTGCTGTAGCGAGCACAATTAATAAGCGCGAA